TCCTGATATGGCCCCCATATTGGTCCAGCCTTCTCCAACGACGACCGCACCCAAAAGCACCTACATTCCTGTACGAACATGCTGAGTCAGCTTAACGCTAGACTTGCGCAGAGGCCGACAGCCACGCCGGAAATGACGACAAATAAAAATTTTTGGGGTGTATCGGCTACAGCCAACACTAAGTGCTTTTTAAATAGGAGGAACGGTTAGGAAGTAATCTTCTGACCACTTGAATGGGGATATAGATACCACAGACTTTCGACTATCTTAAACCGCGCGACCTCTCTACTGACAGTTTGGATATAGCCAGCCTACGCATGCTCGGCTGCGCAATAACAAAAACAGTCAAGGGACCAAAATCAAGCATTGCGCTATGCTCGCATCGTCGCTCCAGAAGGCATAATAAGCGCCTACATCAAATAAACCTACCTTACCAACATCAATCTAACTGCCATTCAAATTTCTCCAGGAAAGACGGGTACTACGGGCACGCTTAACTAGTTATGTGCTTTATTTATTCCAACAGCACGAAGCTGCTACCAGCAGGTAGACCGTTGCGAACGAAAATGCCCCTGTGTGACCTCCACAGTTATCAGGGCGTTGAAGTAGAGTGAGAGGGTCCTCTCTCGGACGCCCAAGCGACATGCTCTTTTCTGGTAATTTTTTTCAAAATACCATGCAAACTCGATCCGAGAATGAAATATGGGAAGAGAGGGGTGGGTCGAGTGGATGGCTCAGAGTTTCGTATTTTTTAACCTCAGTTTATTTGTTTTCAATAATCCATTGTCTATAACACAAACAACATCTAGTAGGACTCGCAGCAAACATATTCGGCTCACCGTCAAGTTTAATAGGAGCCACGGGATTCGCGTTCGGGAGGCTACAGTCAAGTCTACCCTGCACTATTCGTTGCTCGAATAAGTTAGTGTACCTACGCCTTTAGGTCCTGTGACAGTGATTCCAGCTAACAAGTGCACTATTCACAAGCTTTGACGCCCCTAAACAGTCGGCCGACACTTCTCTTGCCTTCAATAAAGTCTGCACACTCAAAAGCGTTCTTTCGACGGACAGTGGACTGCGCATAAAAAGTAATGGTGGAGGTTTCTAATACTCACCTTCGGCTGAAGCAGACGCAAATCTAACCACTAGAAACCACATGATGCATGGCGGGCTCAAATCGCAGTTCACGCGGAACAACAAAAGCGGAAAGGCTTTCTTATGTGGCTGCCTAATGGCAAGAGTTCCCCGTCCGAGTTTCTTGTGTAAATCGTGGTCAACGGTTTAAGGATTGACTAAGGCGTAGTTAATGTGATAAGTGAATAATAGGAAATAAATAAAAGCCGCTTGTAATTGGTTTACTGAACCAAAAATATAAGTGAAAAGCATGCGGAAAGAATAAAATCGGCCAACTTAAACTCCTACTGGTCAGCAAAGGATGCCTATAGACTAATAGCAATATTAGAACAACTCCTATTACTTAACATAACCAAGGGATTGTTTGGACAGGCACAAATTAGACCTACTGAAAAGTTGGAAGTAGTTTTTTGGAATTAATAATCACAGACAAAAGCGGCCTCACAAGAAAGCC